GATTTTAACTGCATGATCTTGGTAATACGGATATTTAAAGCAGTGTTTTCAACCTCTGAACCGTGGCTCGTTTCTCATTTAAAAATAGTCACATGCACAGTTGAAACTGGTGCTAGAAAGAGAACTGCAGCTTTTAATGGACGCTGCATTTAGTACAAAATGGTTTGTTCAGACAATTAAAGTTTGAAAAATGATTTAAAGCATTTCTGAATTTTGGCTAAAGGTGATATTGGATCATTTCTGATAACACATAGACGCAACACTGTTCATTGGTTGAAAACAAAGATGTAGGGACATTTTTTGAAATCTTTTATGACATGTTTCTCTTCCAAATAGCTAAATTAGAAACAATTAGGACAGTTATGTCTTTGATAACTGTTGGCCGTTTATCTGAGACATGATTGGTGCAAGTACACACACATAAAACAATGGTCTTTTCTCCACATGAACGTGAAACAAAGGTGAAGTATTAAAGTTTGAAACTAATTTACATTTTTAAGGAATCCGAACTGGCTTTAAAAAAAAAAGGGAAAAACATTTATTGCACGTGCATGAGTTTTTTTTAAGTAACTAGAGCTCATTAAAAATATAGGGGACACAGTTTGTGACAAGCCCGAGTAAAGACCACGTGGTTTAAACACTAAAGTTTGAAATGGATCCTTTTAGGAAAAATCTCTCAAAGCTCTGCATGTTCTGCAGGCTCTGAAAGTTGCAACTATAAAATAACTCATGAGACAATTGTAATTGGACATGGAAAAATATAACAAAGTTAAAATTACAGGCCTCTTGTGTATGTTATATGTTTGTGTGTGTTATATGTTTGTGTATGTTATATGTTTGTGTATGTTATATGTTTGTGCGTCATGTCAAATACACTACGTTGACCTTAACAAACTGGACCAATACTAACGTGGGGTGTTGTGAGTGTGTTGTGAGTGTGTTGTGGAGTGAACTGAGGAGTGAAATGAGGAGTGCTGAACGGAGAATGGAATAACAAAAGTTTTCTGTAATGTTTTAATGTGATCATGGAATAATTATTTTTTGTCAACAGCATACGGTGTAAGTACTAGAGATTCAAAGATAACAAGCTTTATTGAACAGGTGTAAAAGTGAGAGTACTCTGGGATGAGTACTCTGAGAAAAGTACTCTGAGAAAGTACTCTGAGATGAAATACCTCGCTGAAGGTACTGGGAGTCCCTCCCTCTGCTGTTTGTCCTGACAGTGATTCGGTCCAACCGCAGTGAGCTGTCGTGGGTTGAAGGACAACTTTGGTTTGTAATTCACATTTAGGGGAGTATAAAATTAGAAACATACATATTGTTAAGTCTGTATTTGGCTACAGCCTCTGCCCTGATGCCACACACCGTCTGTCAATGCAGTTATGTTTTGCCCAATTGGATTGATTGACAGGCTGCACAATGCGAAGAGAGGGAAGTGGGCGTTTCTTGTGTTCTAATGTTTGTTTTTCAGATGAGAGATAAACTACCCCTGCTTCAGGGATGACAGTAGTATGGATCATGAGGAAAATGAGCCTCTACTTTGGCACCAAAGCCCACAATATGAATTGAGGACGATCCGGGAGGAACAACTGAAGATGATTGGAACAGTAATCTACACACACACAGATGCATGTTTTATACTTTGGACCACGACCAACAGAGGGAGTATATAATGTTATTGTCATAGGTGGTCATGGTCCTTAACCTTCTAAATCATTAGAAAGAAGTGTAAAACATATATTTACAAGACCAAATACATAATAGAAAAGGGCAGCCTAAAAAAAAGCAAAATGGGAAAATTATTAAGTAATTTTCGGAGTTGCCAAAATGGAATAAAATTCTATATTTGTCCCATAGGGGGTCATTCTAAATTTAGTGTTGTGCAAATTCAAAAGGAGAAATAATAGCGCTTATAACATCAAACAGATCTACTCTTTAAGATAATAATAGAATAGAATGAAATAGTCTGGAGCTATAATGTCATTGGATTCGAGGAGCTATAGGTTGAAAAGTCGCTAAGAAGAGGTGTCAGAATAAACAATAGTAATAATAGTTAGACTAGTGAATAATCAAAATAGTTCTATTGTGGAAATAAGTATCAATAAGGTCAAATTGTTCTAATAACTAAAGTAAAAAGGAATCAAATGGAGTCAGATTGTAGATGTTTCTGTTTTCCACATCTGTAGGAATTAGTGCAGATGTGTTTATAGAGAGTAGTATTAAAATGCAGACATAGAACGACAGGCTTTAACACAATTTTAAATCTAAAATAGCTCAAATATAACATTGCTCTTGACGCAGCCTCTGAGCTGCTCCATTGGAGAACAGGTTAAATGTTATTGTTTATTACAAACAGCTGATGTATTTACACATATTAAGTTTGGGACAACTCTTTAAACAGTTATAAGCAGCGGACAGAAGCCATGAATGTGCTTTTGTTTATTAAATAATTAATTTCATAGCCTTATAATCGTGGAAAACGTTTTAAAATAGTTAAAATCCCTTTCAGGCAACTTGATTTAGATGTATGTCTTTAATATTGGAGAACGACTGTGTTGTTTTTGGAATTGTCTGAAATACAATACATAGAATAGTGATTTGCAGAACAAGAACCAGCCAATAAAAAATCGTCTATTGCCAATGCTATTGTTACAATCAGAACTCACAAATTGGGAATAGGCTTTGGCTCAAACTACTACCAAGATTTGGAGTCACAATAGAGTATAAAATAGATAGATGCTTTCAAAAATAGAGATTATTTTTAGACAGGGCTAATATCAAGCGGTAAAAGGACCATTTCCTTCATATTATGTCCAAAAGTATTTACTTTAAAGGTAGATGAAGTTCATTACAGTTTATGCACAGGTTTATTAGATACTGTCAAATTCGCTTGTTTCAAACATAGGTGAATGTTAACAATGCCAAAAGTTAATGAGATAGATTAGAAACAACAGAGATTCAAAAACATTTAAAAGCATTTTAATGTATTTGGGTATAGCACAAAAGTAGATATTTAGGTATTTTTTGAGAATTTTAAGAGCTGTCGATTTGTCAGCAACAGATTAGAGAATCAAAATACCGTTGTATAGGGACTAACCCCAGAGAAACCTGCTAAAATAGATTAGCTCCTGTACGGATAATACCAATTTGATTAACAATGTACATTTATCCCAAACGGTCTGAGAGAAGGAAGTGACAGCACTTCCTGGTTCAACAAAATGTGTTTGGAAAAATGAGCAAAGCCCCACAAAATGGCACAGAGCCACTGAGAATGACAGCAGTGGTCATCAAAGAGTTTTGTAAGGAATGTTTCGAATGTTGTTGTGTGTGTATTCTTTCTGTATTAACTCTTCACAGATAACGAGCCAGAACCAAGAACCAAGGCGATGATGGACGAGCTCCCCAGTCTCGGCACCCAGAAGGAATATTGAAAGATTGTGACCTAAATTGGTTTAATATAGGTCAACAGAGGGGAACTGTTGTATATTTTAATATTTGACCATTTGAACATCATAGCCAGAAAGACCTCTGTGCACTCAGGAAAAACCCCAAGGACACAGGATAATCAGACATGAGTCATAAAGATAAAATGCTGTTTAAACAGGGCGAATTATTAACTTTAAATAATAAACATTTTGACGAGGACAAGAGTTCAGAACCTGAATCTTGAGGCAGACTGGGAGATTCACCAACTGCATTCTGACGCCTCCCAGTGGACAAGGGACGTCAGCACACCCGGAAACTCCACCCCTTGGACGCATAAGGATGACGTCATCGGAAGTCTCCCTCATGAGCCCCTGTGTGTTTTTTTTGAGGTCAGACAGGACAGGGCACGGACAGGGGAAGAGCAGGCCTAGAATAGGAGCACTTTTGTTGAACATTCTGTATCTGATTGTAAAGATAATTAAATGCAGATGTTAAACGTGAAGATCTCTTGTCTCGCTCTTGCATCGACTTTGGATACGTCAGTCAAAGGGAATTATTGACTTCAGTCCAAAGCTCCGTTCCACATGTGTGTCAATGCTGAGGGAGTGTTCTGGACCAGTCTAGTTTAGTCGCTGTGGACTTTAGAAGTCACTCGTTCAAATGAACGGAGCTCTCTCCGGCTGACGCATGCGCAGTTGCGTTTTTTCAGTTTTCTTGCGGGCGGGACCGCTCGCGGCCATTTTGGATAGCTCCAGTAGAGCACTTTTTTTGGCCCATCAGTTAGAACGGCGGAGATAGGCCTGACTCTGTCCGTCTATGGTGAAGACAGAGAAAGTGTCATATGCGACACATTGGTACAGGGCTAACCATAGATCCATGGGCTAACCCTGAACAGGTTAGCTTTAAGAGCTAACAGCTAAGCTAACAGTTAGCAACCATCAAAATACGTGAACACAAAATAAATATTCATTATATGGCTACAACTACAGAGTAGTAAATAAAAACACACAGGTCTTTATTTAAACACAGGGCTTTATTTAAACACAGGGCTTTATTTAAACACAGGGCTTTATTTAAACACAGGGCTTTATTTAAACACAGGGGTTCAGTTGGTGACAGTTTGTTTCGTCTGCGACTGATACACAAAGAACTGAAACAAAAAACAGATCCATGAACATCTGGTCCCAGTTTGTACGTATTCCATGTGTCTCTGTGTGTGTCTCTGTGTGTGTGTCTGTGTGTGTGTCTCTGTATGTGTGTGTCTCTGTGTGTGTGTGTCTCTGTGTGTGTGTGTCTCTGTGTGTGTGTCTCTCTGTGTGTGTGTCTCTCTGTGTGTGTGTGTGTGTGTCTCTGTGTGTGTGTGTCTCTCTGTGTGTGTGTGTGTGTGTCTCTGTGTGTGTGTCTCTCTTTCTGTGTCTCTGTGTGTGTCTCGCTCTGTGTCTCTCCGTGTATGTCTCTGTGTGTGTCTCCCTGTCTCTCTGTGTGTGTCTTTCTGTCTCTCTCTGTGTGTCTTTCTGTCTCTCTCTCTGTGTGTGTCTCTCTGTGTGTGTCTCTCTCTGTGTGTGTCTCTGTGTCTAACCTCTCAGTGCTCTCTTGTGTTGCTCCTCTTTCTTGCTGCGCTCACGATGGAAGTTGCGCTCGCGCCGCAGACGAGCCAATGACTGCTGAGCATCCAGGACACACCCACATGCAAGCCCCGCCTCCTCACGCACCATCGCCAGCTGTGATTGGAGGAGACGGCGACGCGACAGGAAGTCAGGGACCAACCTGCGCAGAGAAGAGAAACCATAGATGTCAATCATGTGTTCTGACCCCGCCCCCTATTTAAATCTGTGATTAAGAACCGCCTCACAGACTCACCACACTGGGTCCTGGTCCTGGTCCTGGTCCACCTGGTACCACTCCCTCTGGAAACAGCCCAGAGTTCGGACTAACCCGAGTCTCAGGAGAAGGTTCTGCACAAAGTCGTCCACAGGCTCTGGACTCCTGCAGGAGACACCTGTACGTTAGACCAGGTCCAGTCTTGGTTATAATATTATATCCATGGTCTCGACCCGGTCCGGACAAGGTCCAGACCGGGTCTAGACCAGATCCAGAAGGGTTTAGACCTGGTGTAGTCCTGGTTTGGGTCCAGACCGGGTTTAGACCTGGTGTAGTGTGGGTCCTTGTCCATGGCTCCTTTGTTTACATATCACCACGGCAACAGCAGCAGCAGTTGTGTACTTCCTGTTTCATGTTTCCATAGAAACAGGAACTGGTCTTTTGCACAGTCTTTTAAATCAGGATTAGACCAGCACCTGAGAGACCAGACTGAAGACCAGACCGAAGACCAGACTGAAGACCAGACCGAAGACCGGGCTTACAAAGTCCTGGTCCAGACTTGGTTTAGACCTGGTTCACACAGTGAGAGTGGGACAGGTCCGTCCCTCAGCTTTAAACATGTTATATTCTTTAAGATGAAGATCCTTTATTGGTCCCTCAGAGGGGAAATGTCAGTGTTGCATCGTTACAGAGCAGTAGAATGAGGAGCACAAGTTTAAGGAACAATAACAATAAAAGATCTAACGTTTGAATAATAAAGAAACATAAGTATTAAGTAAGACCTACTTCACAACTCCCACTGATGTCTGCTGTCGTTGTCAAGGTCAAGGTCAAGTTTATTTATAAAGCACATAAGTGTCCTTAGGCAAGACACTTAATCCCACTTTGCCTGAAGCCCCCACTGAAAGATCTCAGCTCCTGTGGACTCACCACCTGCAGGAGGATCAGTGAGGGGCTGGTGCTCTGTGAACTGGGTGGCATCTCTGGCCACCCCCCCGACCCAGAAATGGATTAAGGGGTAGAAAATGGATGGATGGATGGAAGTATTAATGCTGTTTATTCCACTGCATAAATATATAGCCGTTTGTTTACATCTGTAGCAGCAGGAGACATTAGTTCAAATGACTGCAAAGATGCACGACATGTGAGGTCCTCATTCTTCACACAGAGGGTGGATCAGTCTGTCGCTGAAGCTGCTCTCCAGAGCAGACAGTGTCCTGCAGGGGGCGACATTCATGATTCAGATAGATGTCCCCCACCTGCTGTGTCCAGTAGATCCTCCTCAGCAGTAGAGCCTCCTCAGCAGTAGAGCCTCCTCAGCAGTAGATCCTCCTCAGCAGTAGAGCCTCCTCAGCAGTAGATCCTCCTCAGCAGCAGTAGATCCTCCTCAGCAGTAGATCCTCCTCAGCAGCAGTAGATCCTCCTCAGCAGTAGAGCCTCCTCAGCAGTAGATCCTCCTCAGCAGTAGAGCCTCCTCAGCAGTAGAGCCTCCTCAGCAGTAGATCCTCCTCAGCAGTAGAGCCTCCTCAGCAGTAGATCCTCCTCAGCAGCAGTAGATCCTCCTCAGCAGTAGATCCTCCTCAGCAGTAGAGCCTCCTCAGCAGTAGATCCTCCTCAGCAGTAGAGCCTCCTCAGCAGTAGAGCCTCCTCAGCAGTAGAGCCTCCTCAGCAGTAGAGCCTCCTCAGCAGTAGATCCTCCTCAGCAGTAGATCCTCCTCAGCAGTAGAGCCGCAGTAGCAGTAGAGCCTCCTCAGCAGTAGAGCCGCAGTAGCAGTAGAGCCTCCTCAGCAGTAGAGCCGCAGTAGCAGTAGAGCCTCCTCAGCAGTAGAGCCGCAGTAGCAGTAGATCCTCCTCAGCAGTAGAGCCGCAGTAGCAGTAGAGCCTCCTCAGCAGTAGAGCCGCAGTAGCAGTAGAGCCTCCTCAGCAGTAGAGCCGCAGTAGCAGTAGAGCCTCCTCAGCAGTAGAGCCGCAGTAGCAGTAGATCCTCCTCAGCAGTAGAGCCGCAGTAGCAGTAGAGCCTCCTCAGCAGTAGATCCTCCTCAGCAGTAGATCCTCCTCAGCAGTAGATCCCCCTCAGCAGTAGAGCCTCCTCAGCAGTAGAGCCTCCTCAGCAGTAGAGCCGCAGTAGCAGTAGAGCCGCAGCAGCAGCTGTGTAGCACTGGTGCAGAGGAGGGTCTGATGCGTAACTTGTCATCTGCCTGAACATTTATTTTGACCAAAAATAAAACCTTTGTATTTCCCAGAGGTCTCCAT